ACTGTCCCCTGTCACTGTCCCCTGTCACTGCCCTCTCTCACTGTCCCCTGTCACTGTCCGTGCTCACTGTCCCCTGTCAATGTCCCCCGTCAATGTCCCCCGTCAATGTCCCCGCTCACTGTCCCCTGTCACTGTCCCTGCTCACTGTCCCCTGTCAATGTCCCCTGTCACTGTCCCCGCTCACTGTCCCCGCCCACTGTCCTCTCTCACTGTCCTCTCTCACTGTCCCCTGTCACTGTCCCCTGTCACTGTCCCCTCTCACTGTCCCTCTCACTGTCCCCTCTCACTTATGGAGTAATTTCATCTCTCAGAGGGGAGAGAATCTGTGGAATTCTTTATCACAGATGGTTGTCAGGGCTGGATCATTAAGTATATTCAAGGCTGTGACAGACAGATTTTTAATCATTAAGAGGGGAATCGAGGGTTACAGGGAAAGGCAGGAAGGTGGAATTGAACATTATCAGATCAGCCACGATCTCATTGAATGGCAGAGCAGGATCAATGGACTGAATGGCCTCCATCTGCTGTTGTGATCCTTATGGATATCTTGGTCCAGGGAGTTGTGTGACCATGAGCCTCCCGGTGAGGTCCATTCCTCCGTCACAGGACCCAGCCAGTCGTGTCCACTCTGAGCAATCCCCAGGTTTTGGATCCATCACATTGAAAACTCCCAAAGGCCCCAAAGGGAGGTGTTCACTGGTCCAGTACCTTTCTTAGGGGAGGTGAATACTGGTCTAGTACCTTTCTTAGGGGAGGTGAATACTGGTCCAGTGCCTTTCTTAGCCAGTCGACATGCTCTGTACCTCACTTATAGAACATAAAACAGTACAGTACAGCACAGGAACAGGCCCTTCAGCCCACTGTGTCTGTGCTGACCATGATGTTATTCTGAACTAATCCCATCTGCCTGCACCTCCTCCGTATCCCTCTATTCCCTGCCTGTTCATGTGCCTGTCTAAATGTCTCTTCAACGTTACAGATTGTATCTGCTTCTATCACCTCCCCTGGCAGCCCATTCCAGGCACCCACTGCCCTCTCTGCCTCACACGTCTCCTTTAAACTTTCCTCCTCTCATTTAGCCCAATGCCCTGAATATTTGACATTTCCACACTGGGAAAACAATTTCAACAATCCACCCTATCCATGCCTCTCATAATTTTATAAACTTCTGTCAGGTCACCCCCTCAGCCTCCGACCCTCTAGTGAAAACAATCCGAGTTTGTCAAAGCTCTCCTTGTAGCTAATACCCTCCAATGCAGGCAACATCCTGGTAAACCTCTTCTGCACCCTCTCCAAAGCCTCCACATTCCTCCGATAGTGTGGTGACTAGATCTGCACACAATACTCCAAATGTGGCCTCACTAAAGTCTTACACAGCTGCAACATGACTTACCAACTTCTATACTCAATGCCCCGACCGATGAGGGCATGCATGCTATATGCCTTCTTTACCACCTTATCAACTTGCTTTGCCACTTTCAGGGAGCTATGGACTTGCACCCCAAGATCCTTCTGTATAACAATGTTGTTCAGGGTCCTGCCATTTACTGTACACTTTCCTCTTGCATTTGATCTCCTAATGTGCATCCCCTCACACCTGTCTGGATTAAACTCCATCTGCCATTTCTCCACCCAACTTTCCAACTGATCTATAACCTGCTGTATCCTTTGACAACCTTCCTCACTTTCCACAACTGCACCAATTTTTATATTGTCTGCAAATTTATTAATCAGATCACCAACATTTTCATCCAGATAATTTGTATATATTGCAAACAACATGCCGATCTTGCAGGACATGACTGGTCTCAGATCTCCAGTCAGAGAAACACCCTCCACAGCTACCCTCTGTTTTCTATGACCAAGCCAATCTTGTATCTAACTGACCAACTCACAGTGGATCCCATACAACTCAATCTCTGGACCAGCCAACCATGAGGAACCTTATTGAATGCTTTAGCAAAGTCCATGTAGGCAACGTCCACTGCCCTACCCTCATCAATCATCTTCATTACTTCCTCAGAAATTCAATCAAGTTTGTTAGACAAGATCTCTCCCACATAAAG